TGGCCCCTGACTGAAAAACAGATCATCGATTCTGTTTTAGACGACTCATGTTTTGGACTGATAGAATGCGACATTAAATTACCGGATAGTTTAAGAGAACATTTTAGTGAGATGACACCGATTTTCAAAAATACTAACGTTACGCGCGACGACATCGGACCGTTTATGAGACAATACGCGCTCGACAACAACTTATTAACTAGCGGTAGACGGACTTTAATCGGTAGCTTTACAGGGGAGAAAATTTTATTAGCGACCCCCCTTTTAAAGTGGTATTTAAATCATGGGTTGGTAGTAACTAAAATTTATCAAGTAGTTGAATATAATCCGGTTTCCTGTTTTAAGACATTTGGGGATACAGTTTCAGACGCGCGAAGAAAGGGGGACATAGACGACAAATACGCGATAACGAGTGAAACAATGAAATTGTTAGGAAACGCGGCATATGGTAAAACTTTGACGGATAAAACACGACATGCGGACATGACCTACTGTAGTGCTAGGGATATAGGGGTTTGTATTAATAATCTGCGATTTAAAAAAAAATAACAAAACTTACCGATGATGTTTACGAAGTAGAAACGTTAAAAAGAAGATAGTTTGGGATCTCCCTCTTCAGATAGGGTTTTTCGTTTATCAGTACGCGAAACTTAGGATGTTAGAATTTTATTATGATTTTATAGACAGGTATATAGATAGAACAGACTTTCAGCTATGTGAGATGGACACTGACAGTTTATACTTAGCCTTAAGTACCGATGACTTGTTAAAAGCCGTTAGACCGGGACTAGAACACGAGTTTTTTGACATTTACGATAAATGGTTCCCCTCAGAAGTATGCGACTTACATAGACCACAATTTATAAGCGGCAAAGGCACGGTAGATAGTCATTGTCTGGGGTGTAGGGCTAGGAAAATTTATGAAAAGAGAACACCGGGGTTGTTTAAGCTAGAATATGAAGGGGATGGGATGGTATCTTTATGTAGCAAGACGTACCACTGTTTTGGCGACTATAATAAAACATCAACCAAAGGATTATCTAAAAATCACAACACACTAGGCAAAGAATCTTTCATGCAGGTCCTCACAACAAAGGAACCAAGTGGTGGGACAAACACAGGGTTCAGAGCATACAACACGGGGATATATACTTACACCCAACACAGAAACTCATTTTCTTACTTTTATATTAAAAGACAAGTAGACGCAGACAATGACACAACATCTCCCCTAGACATATAAGACCTTTTAGTTTACCAATCGTGCCTTTAACGAGACTTTAATGTAAATATGTAAATAAGACAGAACCTTGACTGTATGCTGATGGGGTTGTTTTTATTCAATAAAAACTTATTATATAAACGGCCTTTTTTTAATTTTTGATGTGAGTTATTGTTTTGTTACTTGTCCCTGAAAGTTATGTAACTCGGTATCCTGTATAAGATGTATGACTGGAATCAAAATCAACCATTTAAAATACTGGATCCGAGTTGGAAACAGCTCTTTACGGCATTGAGCGGTAGCCCACCCAGGCGTGGTAAAACAGTATTCAGGGAATACTATATACACCGCAGTATAAGAACCCTATACCATGTCCGTTGAATGTTTTTGTCTTCAGTGCTGTGGATGGGATTCCACTGAGAGCACGGGAATGTTGGAGCAAACGGAAACTGGTCTTGATATTGGACCGGATGAAGTGAGATTGTATCCTGTACAGATGCTCAGTAGCTTTCATGAGACTAATCAAGGGGAGATGAATCTAGGTTATGAGAGAGTGTTTGTACAGCGACCTATAGGTGGAACCTTTATTGAACCCCTTGATGAGACGCCACCACCACCACCCAGCCCAGCTTTCGAGAGGGACATTGACTTCAGGTTGCCTGATGAGGAGGAAAGGTTGCAAACATTTTCAGGGTGTTGGTCCGACGTCTACCCTGTGGACCCTATCAGTTTGGCTAAAAATGGTTTTATCTTCATTGGACCTGGCGACCTTGTCAAGTGTGTTTTCTGTTTGAATACGTTGAGGGGTTGGGAAACGGGTGATGTGGTAGAAGAAGAACATCGACGCCATTATCCAGACTGTCGTTTTGTACGGGTTGCACATTCACACACACACACACACAGACACAGACACAGACACACACACACACGAGTTGTTTTAAGTAAATAAATTTTTTATATACATTTAAATGCTCTTTTGTGATTTATTGTATTAGCTAATTAAAAGTTGTGACAACTTTCCCATCCAACTATGAAGTCCTACGCGGTCAAAACATCGGTGTCTGTTATACACCGCAAACCAAACTTTTTTCGGTCAAACCAAAAAGCTCTCTCTCTCTCTCTCACACACACACACACACAATCACAAAACGAACTTGTAAAGACAAAAACAATATTGCATCGGGAAAACTTCACCGACCCTAGTATAAACCATCCACCAACCGACTCTAAGACATGGATGGACCGAATTTGAAACCTGTCTTGTTGAAAACTTCACCGACCCTAGTATGAACTCACACACACACTCACACTCAAACACACACACACACACACAATCACAAAGCGAACTTGTAAAGACAAAAAATATTGCATCGTTGAAAACTTCACCGACTCTAGTATAAACCATCCACCAACCCCTTCCAAAACATACATGTAACAACTTTGTAACCTGCCTCGGTGAAAACTTTACCGACCCTAGTTTGAAACCTACTAACTCCAAAGCATGCATGTAACAACTTTGAACCAACCCATTGTGAAACCAAAACCATACTACCCTAGTATAATTCCTAAACATGCATGGTCCGAGTTCAAAACCAACCTCGGTGAAAACTTCACAGACTCTAGTATACATTCTATCCACAACAATTCCAAGAACATGGATGGTCCTAGTTTGTAACCTGCCTCGGTGAAATCTCCACCGACCCTCGCATAAACTCTACACCAACCAACAACAAAACATTGATATACCAACTACATACAACACACGGGGTCGACCCGGGTCGATCAATATTATTTCTTTACTCGATCAAAAAACCTATGATACTGCGCGTATAACCGTTAGTAAAAAGCACGGGACCCAACCGGGGGAAAAAATCAATTAAAGTGGTAACAGGTGTTCCAACACTTAATGGTGGCTTTGCGGTTAACCACTTAGCTCTTTCGATTAATTACTATAACCCTTGCGGTGTTCGCTTCGGCGAACAACACATAAAGCCACGATGCATGACCAATTTAATTAGGCGGACCCTCATTTGATGGCCCCGTGGCTGCAATCAATATAATACCCATAAATCTCCGGGCGGCGCGTGTAAAAACAAAACAAAAAAAAACAACAAAGGATTGCGGATCGATAAGTAACACGTGTTGCACGGCTGGTTAATGGATGTTCTATTTTTGTAACGTTCGTTGTGTTGGAGAATGTAACCTGTTTTTTGTACACGTTCATTGTGTTGGAGAATTTAAAGCAATATACAAAGAAATAAAATGAATTTCAAACAAATAAGCAAATTACGTAACTCGTTAATAAAAATTACAAAACAAAATAAATAATAATTTTAAAAAATTAAAATTTTTTAAAAATTTAAAAATTTAAAAATTTAAAAATTTAAAAATTTAAAAAATTAAAATAAACAAAATAAACAAAATAAAATTACGTAACTACTCAATAAAAATAATTAAAAAGTAAACTATGTAATTAAATTAAAATTCAAACTAATTTTAAAATAAAATTTAAAAAAACTTATTAAAACTCATTAAAAAAATCATTAAAATTACGTAACTAGGTCAATGAATACGTCACAAGGTCACTAATTACGTCACAAGGTCAATGATTACGTCACAAGGTCAATGAATACGTCACAAGGTCAGTGATTACGTCACCAAAGGTGACCCACCCTCCGCTCCTCCGCCACCCTAGGGTGGGGGAGTATTTTACTATATCTCATTGCGCCAGGCTCACCCTTCACCCTCATCCTACACCCTTCACCCTGCGCCAGGCTGGGAGTATTTTACTATATCTCATTGTACCAGGCTGCGCCACCCTCCACCTCCGCCAACCCCAGTTGGCGTAGTATTTTACTATATGTCTTTGCGCCTTCCCGCGCATCCGCCTCCCCCTGCGATGCGCCAGGCTGGGAGTATTTTGCTATATGTCATTGTACATCCGCCTCCCCCAGGCGGGGAGTATTTTGCTATATAGCCTTTGCGCCTGCGCCTTCGCTCCTCCGCCAAAAATAATAATCAAAAGTGACCTAATATACTACTGACAATGCAATCTGAAATTAAATTTGACTTAATAATTGGATGCCTAATTAATTTTTTTATGAATTAATTAAAATTTGGACCGAATTAGTAGGCATGTCTAGCCAACCACACCACACGCGTCATCACGTTCAATAGCTGCGCCATCACGTTCAATGGCTGCGACATCACGTTCGGTAGCTAGGCGCGCAATGGTTTTTAATCATATTACTCTATTGCAAATAAAACATGTAAAATACTGAAAAAAAATTAAAGAAAAAACGTTTTAATAACTAACCAATGGTTTTACTAACCCTGCTCTTGATTTACTCTACGAAAGAGCTATTTTTAGATAACATAAGGAAATTGCGCTAAAATTGTCACTAGAATTTTTTTAATTACTTGTTTTTAATGCGTATACCCCTTTAAACATTTAGTATGCTTATGTTTTTCTTTACATATCTGTTCAATATACGTGAGGCTTTTGTCGAGATTTTTTCTCGTATTTTCTAGTTCCATAGTTATATCTCCCGATATTTAAAAATGAATGAAGTCTTGTTTTATTAAAATTCCAAGAAAAGTTTAAAAGACTTCATTTTTTATCTTTACTGAAATGTTGAAATGGGCAAATAGATTAAATAATTCAAAATCAAATGTTGAATGCTGAATGCATTACATAATAAAATGTATATATAATTATAATTATAAATCAAATATTATATTTTTGTATTTCACTTACTTAAAATTACCATTTACTTACGGTTTTGTTTTTCGAGGTTTTTGGTTGTCTCTTGTATCTGCTCATCTGTTTTAATATTTATTATAAATAATTCAAACATTAAAAACCTTTCAAAGTAATAACGTTAATAGTGAAAACATTGTTTGGAAGCTTTAACTAATATTATTTAAAATGGATTTATATTACTTGTCTTTATTGGCACCCCGTCAAAAGAGCGCAGACAAAAGAGCGCCGACATAAGAGCGCCGACATAAGAGCGCACTAATTTCCCGACAAAAGAGCGCCGACATAAGAGCGCAAATTAAAAATTGAAAAAACAGATTTAATAAATAGGAACATGAAAATTTACTCAGATCAGAAGGCATCGTTTGATGTTAAATCTGTATGGATTCATTTAAAAACTAATTGTTCAGTTTCTTTAACTGCATTCATAACATATTAACAATAATATATAAATAAAAAGGTCGTTTTATCGTACCGCCGATTGTTTAATTAAAACACGTGTTAACCATGTCATATTCGTTTAGCGTACAACATGTGTTTTTTAATTGGCTGTGCTCTTATGTCGGCGCTCTTTTGTCTGCGCTCTTTTGTTGGCGCTCTTATGTCGGCGCTCTTTTGTCTGCGCTCTTATGTCTGCGCTCTTATGTCGGCGCTCTTTTGTCTGCGCTCTTATGTCGGCGCTCTTTTGTCGTGCGCTCTTTTGACGGGTCACCGTCTTTATTATGTTAATAATCATAACAATTCTGTGTCAGTGAATAATCTTTACTGGCCTCCATAAAAACTACATGTAAGAATTATGTCCATCTTCGAAATTACCAAGTGTATTTAGTGTTTTACGTTATGTTGAATGCTAAAGCTAAGTCGACTTAAAATTGTATAAACATGTTTTGAAAAAAAAAAAAGACCGTAGTTACCTAATGTAATCATAAAAACAAAATCAAGCATAAAATGTGATGATCGCCCGACTTGAATTTAAAAGAGTGTACGTTTTATAGATATTTTTGTACAGAAATTTCGATTACAACATGTGATCTAAATTAAATAAGCATACCTTTTTCCTCCTCGAGTTTTTCACAAGACAACTTATAATGAGAATATTCTTCCTCGAGCCGCGCTAGTTTGGTTTGCATCTCCTCTATTAGGAATAAAATAACACAAAGTACAACATATATTCGTGAAATGGCCAGTTATTTCATTTCTTATATTAAATCAATTCAAATTAATTTTTGTATGAATATCGAATGAAAATTAAATATGGTAATTTTTAATAATTAATTTTTTTTATCATTTCTAAATTATACGAAGATATAAATATAATTCTATGTTTTGCAATTACGAAAATTAAAATTCCTTGAAAAATGTACTCGCCTAACGGTTTTTTAAAATAATTTTCATACTTTATTCAACATGCATTGGTGTTTATTAATAATCGAATATTAAAACTAGTATTAATATTATTAAACTACTTTTATATTCGCTCAGACCAGCATTACAGTATTTAAATCAGTGTTTATTGATTTATAATAATACAGAAGCTAATGTAACACTAATCAATGGGGATGCTTATTACCCACTGTGGTGTTGTGTTTAAAAGGGCTTACCCTGAGATAAAGCACATAGTGGAACGACGCTGTTGTCAACTGCTTGCTTTATTGACATTAACATCAAGCCATAAACGGCGATGTAGGACGGTAGAACAGTGTAGAAAACAGAAAAACGGTAGCCCTTCATTAGGTTTACATGATCTACCTATAGGCAACGTCACCGTCCGTGTCCACAGCAGCCTTGGTTCTGACTGACAAGGCCACAGACACGAACTACCCATAATTCCATGTCACATGACATGGAACACAGGTAAAATTCGCGCACCGAAGAGCGTGAAAAAAACTACATCTACAATTGCGGTCCCACAGGGGCCGCAGCCCAATAAATTCATCATGTCATGTCATGTTTGCCTGTCGTCCCTACTGGGACATAGGCCGCTGACAAGAGCTTTCCAGACGTCTCTGTCCAGGGCTAGTCTCTCCAACTGTCCCCAGGTGTATCCAATCTTCTTGGTGTCTTCTTCCAGGTCACGTCTCCAGGTCTTTCTTGGTCTGCCTCTCTTCCTCCTGCCTTGTGGATTCCAGGTGAGGGCCTGTCTTGTTATGCTGGATACAGGCTTCCTGAGTGTGTGGCCAATCCATTTCCATTTTCTCTGGAGGATCTCTACTTCCACTGGCAGTTGATTTGTCCGTTGCCATAGAACATCATTTCTGATGGTTTTAGGCCAGCGAATTCGCAGGATCTTTCTGAGACATGCGTTTATAAATGATTGTATTTTCTTCTTATTTATAGCAGTTATTCTCCATGTCTCAGCTCCATAGAGTAAAACAGGTTTTACTAGTGTGTTGAAGATCCGGATTTTTATTCTAAGGGTTAAATCTCCCGAACCCCAAACATTTTTTAGTTGGTTGAAGACTGCTCTTGCCTTACCCGTCCTTATTTTTATGTCTGCTTCTGTCCCACCCTGCTTATCAACAATACTTCCAAGGTAGGTGAATCTATCCACTTCTTCTAGGGCTTCTTCTGCCAGTGTTATAGGGTTGTTGTTTGATGCATTGACTTTGAGAACTTTACTTTTCCCTCTGTGGATGTTCAGACCCAGGCTTGTAGAAAAATTTGCAACCCTGTTGGTTTTATCCTGCATTTGCTGTTGTGTGTGAGAAAGGAGGGCCAGGTCGTCAGCAAAGTCCAGGTCATCCAGCTGGCTCCACAATGTCCACTGTATACCGTTTCGCGTTTTCTCTGTTGACATCTTCATAACCCAGTCTATGGCCAGTAGGAACAGGAATGGTGAAAGTAGGCAACCCTGCCTTACTCCGGTCCGTACTGGGAAGGCCTCTGTAGTCTGTTGGCCATGCACTACTCTACACTTGAGACCTTCATATGAAGACATAATAATGTTGACTATTTTCTGTGGCACCCCGTAGTGTCTCAACAATTTCCACATTGACTGCCTATCCAGGCTATCAAAGGCCTTCTCATAGTCTATGAAATTAATATAGAGAGATGAGTTCCACTCTTGGGTCTGTTCAATGATGATGCGCAGGGTAGCAATTTGGTCTATGCATGACCTTTCCTTCCTAAAGCCCGCCTGTTGATCTCGAAGCTGGGGATCTATGGCTTCCTTCATTCTGTTTAATAATATTCTGTTGAAGACTTTGCCTGGGATGGACAAAAGTGTTATCCCTCTATAGTTAGAGCATGCACTAAGATCGCCTTTCTTTGGAAGCTTTATGAGTAGTCCCTCCTTCCACTCCTCTGGTATTTGTTCATCTTCCCAGATTTTCTTGAAGAGTGTGTATAGTAGTGTGGTGCTAGTTTCTATATCTGCTGTCAGTGCTTCTGCCGGTATACCATCTATTCCTGGAGCCTTCCAATTTTTCAGCTGCTTTATAGCTCTATGTATCTCTTCTTTTGAAGGTGGGTTGCAGTCTATAGGGAGGTCACTTTCAGCTGGTGGTATGTCTTGCGTGCACTCTGGTGTTGGTCTATTCAGTAGTTCTTCAAAATGTTCTACCCATCTCTTCATCTGTCCTTCCGCATCAGGTATTGTCTTTCCATCTTTGGTTTTCACTGGCCTCTCTGGCTTACTGTACTTACCAGATATCTTCTTAATTGTATTGTACACGTCCCTAATATTACCATGGTACAGTGCTTCTTCCGCTTCTCTTGCCAGCAGTTCCAAATAGCTCCGTTTGTCTTTCCTTATGTGTTTCTTTACATTTTTGTTCGTTTCGGTGTATTCTTCCAGTGCTTTTAATTTCGTAGCCCGTGTGCGGCTGTTGTTTAATGTTGCCTTCTTTCTTTTTCTCTCTTCAATAATTTTCATGGTATCTGCTGATATCCATTCCTTCGCTTGTCTTTTGATAGGGCCTAGCACTTCTTCGCATGTTGATGTTAATATACTTTTAGTTTTTTCCCATGTTTCCTCCATCGTCTCTTCTTCTATTAGTTCTTGTAGTACCTGGAACCTATTGGACATATGAAGTTTAAATTCGTTGAGTTTAGATGGGTCCTTTAGCAGGCCTGTGTTGTACCTGTATTTCCTTTTGTTTTCCAACATGTTTTTCTTCAGCTTGAGTTTTACTTTAGCTACCAGTAGGTGATGGTCTGAAGCAACATCAGCTCCTCTCTTGACGCGTACATCCTGAAGTGATCTCCTGAACTTTTTTAAGATACATATATGGTCTATCTGGTTTTCTGTAGATAGGTCGGGTGATACCCAAGTAGCTTTATGTATCCTTTTATGATGAAAGAGACTACCGCCAATGACTAAATTATTTGTGGCACACAAGTCAGCAAATCTTTCTCCGTTTTCGTTCATCTCACCTAAACCCTGCTGTCCCATACATTCTTCATATCCTCTGTTGTCGCTTCCAATCTTAGCATTGAAGTCGCCCATGAGTATAAGGATGTTTCTTCTTGGGCGGTTCTGGATAATGGTCATTAGCCTGTTGTAGAATTCGTCTTTGTCCTCCTCTTTGCTGTCATTTGTTGGGGCGTAGGCCTGTATTATGTCCATGTTTATTCGTCTTATTTTAGTTTTAAAGGTAGCTGTTATGATCCGCGGGCAGTGTGCCTCCCATCCGATGAGAGCCCTTTGTGCTTGATTTGATAGCATGAGTGCAACTCCTTGAGTATGTGGTGCATTTTCATCCTCATGACCTGAGTACAGCAGTAGCTCTCCTGATATCAGCCTTTTTTGTCCTGAGCCAGTCCACCTTGATTCGCTGACACCCAGGATAGCTATTTTATAGCGTCTCATTTCTGCTGCTACTTGGGTTGCTTTTCCAGCTTCGTACATCGTGCGGACATTCCAAGCTCCAATATTGATGGTGGTCCTAGTGGAAATAATGGTGGTCGACCTGGTGGTTTCCAATACATATTGGCTTTCACCACCCGGCTTCATAAATTCTCCATCGGGAGATCCATTTTTCCCCTGGTCCGAGCTGTCTTTGTTTCTCTCTGTCTGCGTTTCTGTAGCGGGTAATTTGTTTTACGAGATAAGGTTGCTGACCTTATGCTCAACCCCCAACCTGGAGGACCAGGGTGCTAGCTTTTGTCTGACCCCTACCCGCGCAGACCTTCCCAGCTTGGTTGAACCTGCCAGGAGTTAACACTCCCGCTGGTATAGCTCTAGCCCAATAAATTACAACTTATTATTTCCCCCCCCCCCCCTGGCTGGTAACAATGATATGTGTTACTCTAACACACTAATTTTTGCCTCATGCAACATGACTCCCTTACTCCCAATGATGCCATTCTTATAACATAAACACACTATACACAACAGTATAACCTAATATTATGTTTTATGGGTCAACTCTCGTGCATCAACAAAATAATTTTGGTATTGACGAAAATCTGCATGCAATTAAAAAAAAATGAATGATTTGATTAAAAATGGCTTTGTCCTTATATCAATCATTTAGCAAGTTGCATTTCCATAACAGCGCAAAAAAAGTTGAATTGTTTAAATGAAGTCTTACTATTACACAATTCAGCAGTTTTCTGTTATTAGCCATGTATTAAATGTAAAAACATCAGCAGAGACTAAAGTATTAAAGTATTACAAAATAACAAATATATCAGCAATATAAAAAGACAATGGTTATATGTCGTAGAGTCTTATTTAATTTACAAAGCAGTGTAGTTAAAATTTGCAAAACATCAAAGTAGAATACATTTTAGAACAAAAAAAAAATTCTACGTTGCTTTTAACCATTAGGAATAACTTGTGGGTTTTAAAATACGATATATGTTTAAACACTAAATATTCTTTCATCTTCCAACATTTTAAAGATTTTAAAAAACATGACAACAACATTAATAGCCCACCTTGCTTTTTTAACAGTTCTTCGTAATCACTGCGATGCACAAAATGTACTGGTGTTGTCGCAGCTGTTAATATTGTTTAGTGTACATATACTTTTGCATGTATATATATATATATATATATATATATATATATATATATATATATATATATATATATATATATATATATATATATATACATATATATATATATATATATATATATATATATATATATATATATATATATATATATATATATATATATATATATATATATAAGAATATATATATAAATATATATATACGAGCCGACCCGCTATTTAGTTGATTTATTTTCTACTTTTCAGTAATTCATAATTTGTGAATTCGACAGTACCAATGCTGCCACTGAAAATATTTGCTTTAAAGCACTAACCCCCCTCCTTTCCCCTAACCCCGACCCTACACCCCCCCCCCCCCGTGAAAGCAGCCTCCTCTTTGTTACCTCCTCTAAGTTTAAAATCGGTTCAAACTAAATTATCTGCCCCTAATAGCCGTCACTAAACCCGGCACTATGATTTGTAAACATTAACGTGAGCACAGCTCACCAGACCATGTGGGGGTGGGGTAGGGGGTGGGGGTGATAGTGATAGTGATAGAGAGAAAGAGAGGGGACTGCAAGGAGGCACTTGCAGCTTGTTTTCTAACGGCTCCCAGAAGAGAATTATATATATATATATATATATATATATATATATATATATATATATATATACATATATATATACATATATATATATATATATATATATATATATATATATATATATATATATATATATATATATATATATATATATATATATATATATATATATATATATATATATATATATATATATATATATAAAGAATAGGTGTATGGTGTTTAATCTTCATATATATAACAGCATAAAAAACAACGATCCTTTAGATTACTGTGTGTTTGCATATTTCCAGGTGTAAAGCTATTAAAAAAATAAAATCGATATTTTGTTATCCACTTTATCGTTAAACTGTCGTGTCGAAAAAAATTGATTATGTTGTAGAAATTACATTCTGCGAGAGCTCTGCTAGTCAGAATATATTAAGTCTTTAAGGAACAAACAGTCTCAGTTTCAATTCAAATACTCTTGTTACCCAGCAGATAATATGGCAATAGGTTAAGACTGTTTCCTTAATTTCCTTGCAATTTGGATTGAGTGCGAACTTAAAAAATAAACGAGAAAAATGGCCCGTTGAGGAAAGATACAACGGGCGCTAGATTGATAGTGCTGTCTATTTTTCTAAACCAAAACCAAAGCCACCACCTTAACCTCAAATTGAATCGGAAACGACAAATTACTTTAAAAACGGATTTTTATCAAGAATCGTCATTTTAATCGGATTTAAGCTTGATCTACACTTAGTTACCGCGCATTGATACTAAATACAGTCGTAAACCATGCACCTAATCTCAAGTTTCTTTCAGGCGACTCTACTTGGGGATAGAGGGCTCCGCCTTCCACCTCCCCCATCCCCCCACACCCCGACAATTTTCAAGTACCCCCCTCCCTCTTCGGGGAAGAAAAAGTCTGAAAGAGACACTGGTCGCATATGTAGATCATACAAACTAATGGTAGAAACTTTGCACGCATAACACTTTTTAGATTAGAAAATTTAAAGTTCCCCTCTCCTCGGAGGAAAAAGTCTGAAAGAAACACTGGTGTCGCGCTTAGCCACTACCCTAAGAATTATATGAAAGAAACTCTAAATGCCAAACACTTTTAAGTTTATACACATTAATTAGCCTATGCCGTAATGTCAGTCTTTTTTTATTATAGAGTATCGATGACGCCGTATCTTTTGAGTTGGGGGGGGGGGGGGGCGGCTTAGATGTTCTGCCGGGGGCAGGGCTTAGCGCCTACCTGAAGAATTGTATGAAAGAAACTCTTCACGCAAGCCATTTAGATTAGACAATGTTTACTCGAGAATCAATGACGTCATATTACTGTGTGCACTCTCCGGCTTGAGATTATTTTCTACCATATGACGTCATTTAGAGTTTCTTTCGAGCTTTTCCTCTCCCAGAATAAACTTGTCCGTCTTAAATCTCGTCTTTATTTGTTTCGGATCTGGAACACTGGCCCCTTTTATACACATTTTATCTTTTTAACTTTTTTTTTCTCCAGTTTTGGTTTTTTAGTCAGGTTACAGTTTGAAAAAATAAACCCACTGCTGTTTGTATTATAATGTTAGTTTAATATAACGGAATAGAGGTTCTTATCTACGTACGGGGGGGGGGGGGGAGACAGGGGTGGGATTAGACGTTCTACGGGGGTAGGGGGAGGGAGAGAGGGGGGACGTTCTACAGGCAAGGGGGGGGGGGGGGGAAGAGAGGGTTGGGATTAGACGATCTACGGGCGGGGGGGGGGGGGGGCAGGGAGAGAGGGGTGGGATTGGGGGGAGCGATTAGACGTTCGACGGGCGGGGGGGGGGGGGGGAGGGAGAGAGAGAGGGGAGGGATTAGACATTATACCGGGGGGCGGGAGGGGGTTGGGGCTTTGCCCCTACCAAAAGAGAAACTCTACACGCAAACCACTTAGATTAGACAAAATTGCCTTTTTATTCAATGTTTACTCGAGAATCAATGACGTCATATTACTGTGTGCACTCTTCGGCTTGAGATTATTTTCTATGTGACGTCATACTTCGCTTTCGTTTTACTGTGCATGTTTTTAATTTGCTTGTGTTTTCTCTAGAGCGTTCTTGTCAGATAGATACATAGATAGATAGATATATAGACAGACAGCGAAACTATGGCCCGTTGAGGAAGGATACAACTGGCGCTAGGCTGATGGTGCTGTCTCTTTTCTCTAAACTAAAACCACCCCACCCCACCCCCCCACACACACCCCCACCCCCCACCCCCCCACCCACCCAAAAAAAATGTCTACCGCCCCATTCAACGAAATATAATTATATACTTTTTCCAGTGTCCGCCCCCTCCCTTGAAAATTCTACCCCCGCCCTCGAAAATTTCAAGTACCCCCACCTCTCTCCGGGGAGGAAAAAGTCTAAAAGAAACACTGGTGTCGCGCTTAGCAACAAGAATTGCATTAAAAAAATTGCAAGAAAACCACTTTTTAGATTAGACACATTAATTAGGCGGTAATTTTATTATAGAGTATCGATGAAGAAATTTCTTTTGAGTTGGGGAGGGGGGTGGGGGGCTCAGACGTTCTTACGCGGGGGTGGGGCTTCGCCCCTACCCGAAGAATTATATGAAAGAAACTCTTCACGCAAACCACTTAGATTAGACAAAATTGCCTTTTTATTCAATGTTAACTCGAGAATCAATGACGTCATATTACTGTGTGCACTCTCCGGCTTGAGATTATTTTCTACTCTATGCTAAATGTGACCGCGTCATACTTCGTTTTTCGAATTACTATGCATGTTTTTAATTTCCTTGTGTTTTCTCTAGAGCGTTCTTGTCAGATAGATACATACACAGACAGCGAAACTATTAGTATTAATTAGGCTTGCGATAATTCCGATCTTAGCCGTAGCACCCTTAAAGTTTGGCACTAATTTCATCAACTCTCATTAACTATTGAACGTTTGAAAAGATAAAAATGTCAGGATAAACAAAAGCGGTTAGTTACCAGAATCACTTGCAAGTTGCGATTCGTTCTCTTCTTCTCTAAGCCTTCGTTTAATCTCGTTTAGTTCGTTTTGAACTTGTTCTGTTATAAAACGGCATGTGTTTGAGAGAGAGAGAGAAAAAAAATATATATATATATATATGTTAGTCATATATCTTTAAAAAAGAAACCGAATGTAATAACTTGTTTTTTAACTTCTCAGCTTAATAGATATAATTTACCAAGCTGTACTTTCAGTTTCATCGATTTTTTTCTCTGTACAAAGTGATCATCTGTGAACAAAATAAGCAAAAACGTAAGTTTCATAAGCTACATATAGGCCTAACCAGTTACTAAATATTTTAGAATGGCTTGATAGCAATTTAATATAAACACTGGTACAATGCAAACGCCTACTGCATCAATATAAATGAATCGGTGCATATATATAAATATATATTATATATATATATATATATATATATATTTATATATATATATATATATATATATATATATATATATATATATATATATATATATATATATATATATATATATATATATATATAAAATCATATATATATATATATATATATATATATATATATAATATATAAAATCATATATATATATATATATATATATATATATATATATATTTAAAAAAAATAGGTCATTCAAAAATGTTCTAGCATAAAAAAAATTAAAATACTCATATACACAGAAAACTTTTGTGCTTTTAAATAGACAAATTTAAATGACAAAACCAAGCTCTAAAATAATGCATTTTTTATATAGTATTTAAATATTCTTTTTTAGCTTAAAAAAACATGTGTTTCTGAATGCACCCTATTTATATCAGCTATTTTTAATGTAATGAATTACCAGATAATTTCAATAGCATTGATGAATGGTCATAAGGATGCTGAATGGA